GTAGGGGGAGGGGAGGGGTGCTTTGAAAAATAAACGGGACAATGGCTTTAATATCATTTGCTGACTTGAAAGAGGGGGGGGGTTGAAACACAAAATTTTAAAATTTTAAATACTTTAAAAAGTATGTATAATATATAATATTAGCCTGTGTACATCCGTTTCTCACCCCTCCCCCCTACCGGGAATAATCGGGGAGGAAACGTCTGTGATTTGGCGTTCCTAATCGTGTTCTGGGGTCACGTGAGCTCCTCAAGATCTTGAGGAAGAATTTCATTGGCTGTTAAATTTAGTGCCTTGTGATTGGTCAAAAACACGTATTTGGCGCGAAATAATACGATAACTTTGACAACTTGTGCACTCGCGATATTTCCCTTAAAACTTTTTACATGTAAGCTTAAACATTTTAATATATGAATCAGTGCGTTTTGTGTTTTGAACTTTTGAGCAAAGATAAACGTTGCGATTGGAATCTTATATTTGGAGAAGGAAAGTTGAACATTCATAAGGAGCTACAAACGTTGGAATTTTCAGTAGAGACGCGGGAGGCGAAGTATATTTGCCAGAAGTGCTTACGACTTATAAAGAAGAGAAGGGGTTTAATTGACAGTCTTCGTGTTGTAAATGAGTCGATCTATAACTCATATTCTGGATCCCTGAAAAGTCCGAGAAAGCGGCCGTGTTCCAAGGAGATCGAAGGAGTTGAAGTATCGAAGATCGTCGTTTTAGAAGGTGAGAAAAACATCGAAGCCGATGTCGACGATCATGTGAACTCTCCTTACGCAAAAACATCAACTCCAGTTAAACATGCACGTAACCAGCAAGATTTAAACCTTTCCTTGGCTCCAATTCCCGCGAGCCCAGTGTTAAATCCTCCTGTTGAAAACAAGGAAGCATCCCCTGAAAAGAAAGCTACCACTGTAGAAGTTAAAGTAGAATGGCCAAGTAAGACCAAAACGAAGGACTTAAACGAAGGACTCCAGCCGCTTGGTAAAATGTTATGCCGGGGGACATACAAGCAAATCGCAGCCGCTGTCTGGAGAAACGAACACTTAAAAAAACACATCCAGCAACTTTTTCTACAAGAAGTAGACCGCGAATGCACTTATATGTGCTCTCTCAAACATGACAGTTGCCTTCGCTCGCCGACTAAAGAAGAGATCTCTACATTTTCCTTAAAGAAACTTAACGTTGAACTAGAAAACAAAGCTCCATTATTTAGTGCCGTTCTCTGGACGTCCAGTTTGCGACGATGCAGAAGAGGTCTCGATAACTCAGGCTGGCAATCAGCTGTTGCTATGTCTGCATCGGTCCTCCTAAATAATAGGTCGCCGTGCATGAATGCTCTGCAGTTGATAAACAGCATCACACTTTGCCATAATGGAATAATAGTAAGTAATTATTGAACATGATTGCTCACATATATATTTTAGATTGATTGGTGCCGAATTGCAAAACAAATTAAATAGAATCTTTATCAACTTTCAGAGTCAAAGATTCTAATTCTGTCTTAAATGTTATTGCAGGGTTCACTCACCCGATTGCAGTCCCTTAGAGTTACAACATCCAACAGCTACTACTACAAAAAAATGGATGAATTTGGAAAAGATTTTGACGCAGTTTTGAAAGAGAGTGTTTTGAAAGAAAGCAAGAGACTGGAAACTCTATGTACATGTAGTAACACACAGCAAACCATATCTCCAGACAAAGGAAGGAAGCTGGTGTTTGATAACTTTGATTTCAAGCAGCATGTGCATCACATGACAGAAGGAAATCAAAATCCAGACATCCACTGGACAACACACATGGCTGTTGAAAACAGAGTGGATGGCAACAACTTGTCAAATGCCCAGCCACCTGATGAAGACCTGCTTAAACTAGAAAATGGGAGATGCATGCCAACCAGCCGTGAACATCAGCTTCAAAGAGAAGATTACATCACATTAGTTGAAAGAATGATCACTGAAATCCCCTACCTTGACTTCCTGAAGCCGTACACGATAAAACACATCCCACATGAATATTCAATAGCCATGGCACAAAAGTCAGATATGGTAATGACAAAAACTGAATATTTCTATTGTTTATTTATGTTTAATATTTTAAATTGCAATTTTCATTTGTAATATTTGATTGATTTGTGCATTGTAGCAGGTCTATCAGATTGACAGTTTGATATATATAATATATATATATATTATGATATTTGGGCTTTTTAGTATAATTTGAATTTAGAAAATGATACAACCATTAGCGTGAAAGTAGATGGAATGTACATCTAGTATTCCATGATAGTGCATTGTTTTAAATGGTAATACAATATTGATCGCATTCTCTTGTTTCACTAGACATTCCTTGGTATGATATATGAAAATGAAAACACCTCAGATGGTATACATGAAGTATTAAAAGTGCTACACCAGTACCTTTCTTCTTACACAAGACCTGAGGATGGTGAGAAAGTGTTTGGTTCCCAGGGTGCAGTAGCTGACCAGCTTTCAGTAGAAAGAGGAGTGAATTGCCTCTTTGAAGTGTGTAATGGATTTACTGCTGAAGAAAAACTGGAGGGATTACACTTCGAGGTAGCTGATTGGCATGCAGGCAATAAATTTCTTAAGGTATTTATTGAATTTCAAATAACATTTACTGTATATCAGTTTCCCCATTTCCAAGGGCCTAGCGACTTGCCACATTGATAACCCTATAAGCCTCAGCTACATGTACTACAGCTGTTTATTGTTTGGACCAGTTGAGTACATGAACAATGTACATGTATGTGTGAACTAGTAGCCTGTGTACATCCGTTCCCATCCCTCCCCACTAGTATATAGATAGTAATATTTTATACACTGTTTTGCCAAATAATTGACATTGATATATATATGAGATAAATAATGTCTTTTGTTTTCAAACAAAAGGCATTATAGTCCAGTCAATCTACGCGATTTTATAGCCCAAGATCAAACTAATTGCAACAAAATCTTTTTCACTGCCAAATGATAGTTACTGGTCTACTAACTAAYATRCTAAAAGTTCCCCAAAATTCGGATAGAGGAACATGGTTAAAATTAGGTAACAATCGGACAATAAAACCACAGGTAGCCCAAGCCAAGTAAAAAATCAGAATTTGTCTTTTTTATTTTGCATTTTAATTTTTAGTGGTATTGGAGATTTCTAATGATCTAATTATATCTTTCTTGTCTTAAAATAGCTATAACCACTAAAACGAGATGGTTTATGGCAAAAATAAGTGGTTTTTGTGATCCACAGGAAGCCCAGAAATCAAGTTCTGATTAACACTGTATTTAGTTAACTTCAACTCTAATTATTTAAGATGTTTTTGAATCGTCATGTTGTTTATTCTTAAAATGTGAACATGTAAGCCATAAAAAATTAAACATAAGCGAAATTTGTAACCAGGTTATAACAGAGCGGATGSCTTGAMGATTAAGTCACTAGCCTGTATGTAAGTAAATTTGGAAAATCACTGTTTTTTAACTGTCTKTTCACATTTCTAGAAGWAAAAGTATTTAAATAATCGTTTTTTTTTYCAAAATGGATGCAGTGATATTTTAATTCAAAGCTTTTGACTCGTTTATATAGTTTTGCTCCTTTTGTCTGAATTTACTTGGATGAGTTGAGAACARATGGAAGCTTGYTGTCGTATTTRWGGGGGCAGTCAGTTTGAAGACCAAAAGTCCTTACTAAAAAGGATGCAATAGCGTCAATCAAGTTGGTGTAGCCATCCAAGCTACACGTGGAAACAGAGTTCACAAAAAATGTGGTGTTAAGCTTTTGAGAGCCAAAAAACCTGCTTATACAACAGCATGTGATCACGATGAATCGACCGGCAATGTAGCTGTTAGATGCCGCTCTGAAAAGTCCCAATTTAATCCTGGTGAAAGTTGTACTTTCTGTGGTCAACTTTTTAACTATGATTGCAGAAGGAAAAAGAGCGTTGTCATTCAGTTCGCACTATGGAATTCAAGGAAACCATCCTTAATGTATGCAAAGAACGAAATTACGATGACTGGGCACAAACTGTGCTAGGAAGAATAGAATTCCTTAGTGATTTACATGCAACAGACACTGTTTACCATCAAACATGTAGTATTAATTTTGTAACTATTAAAAATATACCAAAACAATTCAGTGAATAAGTCTTAAAAGTCAAAATACTGAGTGTTCTATGTCTTGAGATGATACGGATCTTCTAGTATTGGTGTCATACCATGGATGGTGAGATGGACGCAAATGATCTATTCTTAATACCTCAGCCCAAAAAGAACTCTAAGACACGCACAATATGGGACATCAAGAAAACAAAGTCTGCACTAGGATCTGGTGTTTGCAGCATATATTGTACATGTATGCACTCCTCGGATGCGACACAACCGATTGCGAGTACATGGGATTGGAAAAGGAGTGGCTCCAGAAGTACATATGTACTTCTGGTGGCTCTCAAGAAGTTTGATAACAATGCGCTGTTCAGTGATCAACCCAGAGTATTTAGCAACCCAAATGTTTCCAAAGATGAAGTAATCGCAGCAGGTGAACGGTCGCTAGTGTGTCTCTACTAATGATTTGCCTACACTGAGAGTCTCGATTCCCTGCGATATACACTCTTTTGTATAAAGTAACAAGCGGAAACGTATGCGTACCTTTTGAAAGTCTTCCCCCTGCGTCAGCTGCCGCCTGTTTCCACAGTTTTTAAGGGTATATTTGTTCCATAAGTGGAAGGATAACCAACAAAAGTGGAGACGGGAACTAAATGATGAGAAGTTTGTGCCGAAAACAACAAAATCTGCCTCCTGCACATCCTCCTTCACTCAAGATCACAACGTTTAACTGTTTTTACATAACTGATTATTTTAAGATAGATTGTAACACAAGAAGATGCTCCTGTCTTAAGAATTGACTTGACTGCACAACTGCCTGCGGATTCTGTAAGGGAGCGAGCTGCAAAAACTTGACACTTGCGGAACTTACAGAGTAATAAATAATTAGAATCTAGTCACCTTAAGTTGAATAATGAACGTTAACAATGCTTGTTTCATCTATAGATACACGATAAAAGGAATAATGTNTTTTTTTTTTCAAAATGGATGCAGTGATATTTTAATTCAAAGCTTTTGACTCGTTTATATAGTTTTGCTCCTTTTGTCTGAATTTACTTGGATGAGTTGAGAACAAATGGAAGCTTGTTGTCGTATTTGTGGGGGCAGTCAGTTTGAAGACCAAAAGTCCTTACTAAAAAGGATGCAATAGCGTCAATCAAGTTGGTGTAGCCATCCAAGCTACACGTGGAAACAGAGTTCACAAAAAATGTGGTGTTAAGCTTTTGAGAGCCAAAAAACCTGCTTATACAACAGCATGTGATCACGATGAATCGACCGGCAATGTAGCTGTTAGATGCCGCTCTGAAAAGTCCCAATTTAATCCTGGTGAAAGTTGTACTTTCTGTGGTCAACTTTTTAACTATGATTGCAGAAGGAAAAAGAGCGTTGTCATTCAGTTCGCACTATGGAATTCAAGGAAACCATCCTTAATGTATGCAAAGAACGAAATTACGATGACTGGGCACAAACTGTGCTAGGAAGAATAGAATTCCTTAGTGATTTACATGCAACAGACACTGTTTACCATCAAACATGTAGTATTAATTTTGTAACTATTAAAAATATACCAAAACAATTCAGTGAATAAGTCTTAAAAGTCAAAATACTGAGTGTTCTATGTCTTGAGATGATACGGATCTTCTAGTATTGGTGTCATACCATGGATGGTGAGATGGACGCAAATGATCTATTCTTAATACCTCAGCCCAAAAAGAACTCTAAGACACGCACAATATGGGACATCAAGAAAACAAAGTCTGCACTAGGATCTGGTGTTTGCAGCATATATTGTACATGTATGCACTCCTCGGATGCGACACAACCGATTGCGAGTACATGGGATTGGAAAAGGAGTGGCTCCAGAAGTACATATGTACTTCTGGTGGCTCTCAAGAAGTTTGATAACAATGCGCTGTTCAGTGATCAACCCAGAGTATTTAGCAACCCAAATGTTTCCAAAGATGAAGTAATCGCAGCAGGTGAACGGTCGCTAGTGTGTCTCTACTAATGATTTGCCTACACTGAGAGTCTCGATTCCCTGCGATATACACTCTTTTGTATAAAGTAACAAGCGGAAACGTATGCGTACCTTTTGAAAGTCTTCCCCCTGCGTCAGCTGCCGCCTGTTTCCACAGTTTTTAAGGGTATATTTGTTCCATAAGTGGAAGGATAACCAACAAAAGTGGAGACGGGAACTAAATGATGAGAAGTTTGTGCCGAAAACAACAAAATCTGCCTCCTGCACATCCTCCTTCACTCAAGATCACAACGTTTAACTGTTTTTACATAACTGATTATTTTAAGATAGATTGTAACACAAGAAGATGCTCCTGTCTTAAGAATTGACTTGACTGCACAACTGCCTGCGGATTCTGTAAGGGAGCGAGCTGCAAAAACTTGACACTTGCGGAACTTACAGAGTAATAAATAATTAGAATCTAGTCACCTTAAGTTGAATAATGAACGTTAACAATGCTTGTTTCATCTATAGATACACGATAAAAGGAATAATGTAAATAAGTAATGAATAGTAAGTAAAACAACTGTAGTTTCTCAAAACAGAACTGTATTTTTTTAGTGCCGATGCAAAAACTTGAACAGTTAATTCCTATAATAGTTCGGTCACTTGAATAAGTAAAAACAAATCAATAAAGTTTAATAAATAGCAGAAAGATATGTTTGTTGAAATGATGACAAAAAAAAGGATCGGGTTGTTGTTTTGAACATTAATGCAACTTTATTATGTATCTTTTAATTTTTTTTATCAAAAGATGTTTTTCACGAATTGGGAACCCTGTGGTAAAGTGTGAAATAAGAAAACACTCATTTTGATATGTTTATCCACACAATATTTGTGGAATTTCTTGTTGAAGTGTCCCTTTGTTTGTCAGAAGCTATATTTAGCAATTTATTTTAAGTTTATTCTATTTTTTAGCGAGATAATTATTTTACTTGTTTTGGGTACCCTGTGGTTTTCTCGAAAATCACAAAATGCTATTTTAACCATGTTCCTCTATCCGAATTTTGGGGAACTTTTAGTATGTTAGTTAGTAGACMAGTAACTGCCATTTGGCAGTGAAAAAGCTTTTGTTGCAATTAGTTTGATCTTCAGCAACAGATTGACTGGACTATTATAAAACACCATCTAGTTCTTTTGTTTTCAATTGAAAATATTTTATATATATCTCATATATATATCAATGTCAATTTTTTTTTTCAAAACAGTGTATACAATTAAAGATATTGAAAAATATATAATGAAAGAACAAATTTTGTTTAAAAAAAACTTTTGAAATAACCTTAAATCTGTTTGTTGAGTGAATCAAGCAGTAAAGGCTATTGTCAAAGTTACTATTTCATGGATATAATGCACTCTATTGCTATCCTTATGTATAATAGTATATTATGTTAGAAACTGCTTTGGGAATAAACAAAATGCAAAGTTAATCACTATTTCATGGCTAATATAGTAACATTTATCATGAACACTTGTGTAGGAGAAATCAAAATATATCTTTGTCATCTCCTAGGTTCTATTTAAGAATTTCTTCAGTGGGTCATCTTCTTCAGACAAGTGCACTTTATACAGTGACAGAAATTTAATCAACAGAAGAAATGTTAAAGCAGATGTTGATAAAGCTGTAAACCCTTGTAGACAGTTCTTTGAATTGGAGGTCAAAGCAAGAGTGATTGCATCAGCCATGCTCATCCTGGGGATTGACAACCTAAACGGGATTCCTACTCAGATAGTTCCAGCAAATGCAAAAGAAATGACAACAGTTCAACAGAGACATTTATTGAAGAAAATTGCATCGCAAGTTGTAGACTTGTTTGTCCTTCAGAAAGACAAGACCGATGCACTTTTAAACAAGGTTTTAACAGAAGAAGAGCATGAATTAGCTAGAAGCAGAGATCAGACAGAAGATGGACGATTTATGTGTCGTTTTCCCGGTTGTGGCAAAACATTTGCCCACAATGGAAAAAGAAAACAAGATCATGAAGCCACACATGATATGTCAGAAACAGAGATTTCTGACATTCCTGTTTCCAGCAAGATCCCAAAGGTTAAGAAGGAAGAAACTGATGACATGTTTAACTATCAATGCTCATTTCTCGAATATGCCATGATAATTTTCAACTTCTTCGATGCAATAAAAGAGGGTGATGGTAAGCGTGTAGTTAGATGTTGGAAGTTTCAACTCCCGTACTTGAGAAATGACTCTGCCAGCACCAAGTATGCTCTGGAAGCTTTAACTCTGGTTTTTCAAGTAAATGCACTGCTTTCACCCAGGGATGTCCATAGATTTGTATGGAATCGCTTTGCATGCAACAATGCAGGTTATGGTCACAACATTCCTCTTGACCTGAACATGGAATTCTTAAACCGTATTTTGAAAGAAGTAGTTAGAAAGTTAGGCCCCAATGCTAAAAATCCCAAGACCATTGATCGCTATTGCAGAGCAGTCAATGTGACCAAAGTTGTTCTTGACAATTTTGATAGAGAAATCTCCTTAAAGAAGATGTCAGGCAAACATGTCAGAGCATCAGCCATTCCAGATCTTCATAAAGTCATTGCTGAGCTTGTGTCACAGAAAGCCTTTACATGGACACCAAACAGGGAATACATCCACTACAAGAATGTTCAGCCAAGTCTCTTAGAAGGCATGGATATGCATGACATGTTCAAGTGGATAAATACACATAAAAAGAACATTATTCTCGCAAAGAAGGCACGTTGAATAACTTAATAGAGCTAATAATATGATTGCAATGAACAAATTTTCATGTTTGATTCAGACTTTGATTACAGTAGTATATAATCCATCAATACAATACAAGAGTATCACAAAATAACTATTTATTCACATTATAAAAATGCAATAATTCCTGAACCATAGTAGTTGCAGTTCATACATGTAAATGTAAATGTACAAACATCAAGATTCACTTTCATATTTAAGAAATCTTCCAAGAATCATTTCATTGATATATTCACAAAAAATATGAAATTATAATACAAAGCAGTCACTTAAAGCCTGGAACATATTGCCAATTTCTGCAAATGCAAATAGAATAGTGCTAGCTGATCATTTGCAAATTTAAAAACAAGGTATTGATAATGTTTCATGCTTTAAGTGATTTTCAAAAGATTATGAAACACAATAGTCATTGGTTTATAATGGATTCTAATGAATAGTTTTAAAAGACTGAGTGGATTTTGATCCTATAGTATATCTATATACATTAGTCGTATTTCACAGGTTGGATGAATTTAGAATGTGTGATAATTTGTTATTTTCATGGATATACTATGTACACATTTATATAATATTTACATTTGTTTTGCAAAAAATATAAAAATACCTTAGAATGAAGTTGCTATGTGTACATACCAAGAACGAAAAGGAATCTTCGAACCTTGACTTGACAGGCCCCACTGGCTGATACAGTGGGCCTCATCTACGACAACAGCTATAAGAGACTTCTTAAAGGAGCTGTTGTCGAACAGTCTTCGCCACTTTGTTGTACTCAGCATTTTTTCCGGCGATGCGAAGACGTACATGAACTTCCCACTTTCAACTTTTTCGAGGATATTGTCACTTTGCTCTTCGTGCAAAGCAACTGCTGACAGTCCCAAGGATTTCAAGTAGGAAACCTGGTCCTCCATTAGACTTTGTAGTGGCGAGATCACCAAAACGGTTGACGACCCTTCTTGTCGTTTGTTGACCAGATCGAAAGCTATTGGAAGTGCGTAAAAAATCATTGATTTGCCATAACCGGTTGGTAAGCTGGCATAGACACTTTTTCCACCGAGTGCAACTTTTAGAGCCTCCTTTTGCTCGTCAAATAAACTAGAAATATTAAAAATAGAACACACTCGAGAAACTGCTGCATTGAACTCCGCCATATTTGTTTGTATGATGCGATGCGGGGCGCATGCGTGCATTATATATGCAAATTTATGTCAGAACACGATTAGGAACGCCAAATCACAGACGTTTCCTCCCCGATTATTCCCGGTAGGGGGGAGGGGTGAGAAACGGATGTACACAGGCTAATATAATATCAATAGTTTTTTTTTTATTTTTATACATTTCTTATCAATGATCAATTTAAACAACGAACTCTACTTTCTTTTTTATAGAGAGGTCTTAGCACATAAGCATTGACTTGCTTTTTTTGTGACTGCTTCAAWGTTTTAAGATTAGCTATTTTACATTGCTTTATACATATTGGGGGAGGGGTACTTTTCCTCAATGTCTGAAGGAGGGGGAGCTCGAAAAAAATATTGTGATAGAGTGAGGGGGGCTGCGAATTTTCCCAAGATTGTTTTTTTACTTTTCCTCCAGACCACACTGACGCATATTTAATGAAGTGCCGAACGTCCAATAAAAGAGATATATTATAGCTTCAAGTTGGTGTTTTGTTTAATTCCATTCTACTGACATATAATGTAATATACAGCCTTTTGCAAAAATTATGAGAATTGTTGAAATATCTAAATATCATAATATCAAGTGCATGATGGGTAATCCCGCGCGATGCCCTTAGTCCCTTGTCTTTGTAGTTTAGTTTTTTTTTGGCGACAGACTAATCCGTAGTTCTGAACATTTTCTCGATGTCAACAATGAATTATTCTAGCAAACCCTCGTGTTCCAGACAATATATGGATATGGATATTATGATATTTAGATATTTAGACAATTCTCATAATTTTTGCAAAAGGCTGTAATAGACATATAAAACATATATGAGAGAGTACATCACAAAAGGGGTCTTGTGTCTAGCGGGAAAATCCAATCTTCCAAAAGATGCAATTAATTCACTCGCTGCATCAAAAGGGTCTTAATTCTTTAACCCCCTTTTGTGCTGTCCCTTCTCATATATATACATAGAATACTGATCTAAAACGCTTTGAATATGATCCATTGATTTATTGCTACAGACCTGCTTCGTATGTTTTGACCCACACTCAACAGGCAATTTACAATGAATGACCGTTAAATATCCTATGCTGGTAATTTGAAAGAAGATGGTTGCTAAGTTACATTTATCAGGTTACATAGTTCTTGWCTACAATASACTACAATACATATTGCGTACTGGCTATGCGTACAGGCWTAGTTCACTACCCCCATTCTTTCGACTTTGTGTATTTTGCTGAAAATACTTTAAATGTTGTATTTGGGGAGTACCCACCCCATAACTTTGAGCTGTGAGATTTGTTTGTGCTCCAATGCCTTCATTAGGATTATATACATTAAGAAATATTATCCAGATAAGTTTGAACGGAAATAGCTAATGCGCTGTCATGAAATTTTTTTGTTTTTTTTTGATTACATGTAAGAGCAAAGACAGTTCAAACACAAGAGATCGTACTTACTAAATAAAAGATACGACATTCAACAACGTAAGATGAGAATGGAAACGATTTTTAAAAACTGACCTTTTGCAGCTTACCGAAAACCCAAAATCCTGAAAGACATACTTATCATAGCAAAACTGAACACGCAAACGAAAGGTGTTAACTAGTATGGCTGTAAACCATGTGGTAAACAACGATGCACCTGGTGCTCATCTATTCTTAATACTAAAACCTTTAAAAGTGAATCGAGTTGTAATGAGTATAAAATCTCAGTTCCATGATTTGAATTACTGTCAATCCTCTTTGTAGATAGACTTGATAACGTGTAAAAAGTGTCCAAAGAAATACATAGGAAAGAGTGAAACACCCCTCAACATTCGACTCAACAACCATATCGGAACTACCACATTAGAACTAAATTAGAGTCCCGTGCAGACGCGTAGCTTGGAGTGTTTGGCTAGTACGCACATATCAGGGACCGCGACACATATTTTGGATTCGGGGGCTGACGACCACCGAAAGCGGGAGTATCAAGGGAGTTCTGCGGGTCCTCCCCAGGAAATCTTGAAATAATAACTCTTGAAAATGCGATTTCCAGCGTTTTGAGGGGTATCGAGAGCATATAAAAGGTATCAAATCCCAAAAATTTGAATATTTCCTTGCCACTAGTACGCAAGTGCGCCATGCGTAAAGGATGCTATGCACCTGCTGTGAGCTTGCAGAATATCTTACCAACAGTGATCATGATTTTAAAGCGAACACACAAATAACAGCTATAGAAAGAATAGAATGATTTCGATATCATTCGAAAGGTTCTTTGTCTGGTATCAGCAAGAAATAAATACCACCGTCAAGATACTTAGTATTCATTTCACTTGTAATAATATTCTTTTTTTAAAAACTGATCAATTTTGAAATTAGATTAGACAAGCAAGACTGTTCAGGCTATGAAAATGTTCAAAGAGGCATAACCTTATTAGGAAAAATACAAATTATTAAATAGTTTGCCATCCCCAAAATCCTATACTGTGCATCGTTAATTCATATCGATCTTAATACTATAAAAGAAATCAATAGCCTAAGCAGATTATGTGTACGAAAAGATATCTCGACGACTCTCATAATTATACTTGGAAAACTTTTTTAGATTTATTATTTGAATAATGTGGGAATTACCTTTTAGCTTTAACTTTGACCCCGAGACACTATCTCTAAAAATACCAATATTTTTCAAGGAATGTTTGAAAGCATGATTTGTTTTTAAAAAAATCACACGAGCATGCTGACTCTATTGACGGAATTTTAAGTCAGATTATCTGGAATGATTGCTTTATAGCGGAGCTCCCACGAGTGACCGACCTATAGCAGGCAAATTACATTTTCCTTTTTTTATTTGTATTTTCTGCCACTTTGCTCGCATCCTAGCTGCAGGATACCGATGACCGGGCAGATCGTGAAATACCGGACCGCGTACTAGCCAATCACAGCGCGCGAATGACTAGGATACCGGATCTAAAAATAATCAAAAAACACTGGTATATCCATCGAGCCAATTTCTCATGGACCGACACAGGGTT